CGTCTGTGACGAGACGCGGCCTAACTCTCCTTCATTTAATGCATTTATATCGCGCCATTTTCCGCCCTGGTGCCAAGCATAGCTCAGGCCGGCTTAGCCTAAGTGTAATTTACGGTATTATAACTTTACACCGTCCGGTGATTGTAGGGTGTAAAGTTAACAGGAACGTCTGAGAGGAAAAATAGCATTTAACCGGCTAAATCTAGACAGAAACTTGTTAAAACGCGATAGAAAACTGGAGAGAATATTTGTAATCTTGTTTTACCGTACAAGATTCATAATTTTTGTGTATATGATGGTTATTTTCCTTTTAGGGTTCCGTACCCAAAGGGTAAAAACGAGAGACAATTTTTTATTATATTTTTACTTGAAAACTATTCTAGATATATTATACCAATCACATCGTTGTACTAAACTACTAAAAATAACAGTAATAAAAGTCCAATAAAGCTATTTTATAAGTAATTTTCTTTATTCTACCATGCATTATACAGAGCGTAGTTTCTTGTGGTTTCAAGAAAAGGTATGTTTCTCTACAAGAGAAGAAGAGGTTTATAGTAGGAAAAGCCAATCTGTGGTTTCGGAATTTACTCAAACGCTAGAGAATAACATCATTTTCATCCAAAATTTGACGTTACTTCGTAAATTATTAGGAAAAAATCTCTCTCTCTCTCGAAATAAAAATATGCTGTCGAAGTTTCCGGAATACAGTTTGGACCACCCGGTATAACAAATTGTAATTTTTTATAATCAACATTTTAATAGATATTATAATATTATGTATAATTAAGTCTTCGAAATAATAAAGGGTAAACCCCCACAAATTCTCCAAACGTTTCATTAAACCCGAAATAATTTTTTTCGATTTTTTTTCGCCATTTTCTCTTCGGTATTAATTAAAAGATAATTTTATCCCGAAGGAATATTCAAATCACTTCGGCGAAATGAAAATCGTTATTAATTTTCCAATTCAATCGTCTTGCGTCCAATCAGCGAAAATTAACTGCTACTGATAATAATCAATCGACGAAACGTTGAAATTTTTAATTTTATTTGCCGGCGGAAAATTTTCGCGACTAGTTTTCCCGCTGCTGTCCCAATTTTCCTTTCTTAATTAACAAAAACGAGCAGGAAGTGTTCTCCGGGAAGACCTTAAAGTAATTAAAATAGTTCTAAATACGTCAAATTTACTTGTCTTATCGATGTTTTAATAAACTGCCCCGAAAGTTTTGAGTAATTATGTTTGTTGACCATTATATTGCTTCCTGTTTTTGATAGTTTGTTTAAAAAGAAATTTTCAGCGTTTTGTAAAGGGTGTATTCCGTTGCTTACCTTGGTTATGGTTTCATGTTCCGTTTCTGTCGGTTTCCTGAAAGTTTTCTTATTACGGAACACGATTCATGAAAAATTCGGTTATAACTGTCACCAGACAATGTCAATCAATGTCATTTAGGTGACAGAAATCAAGCAAATATTGGAAGTTCGAATGAAACTCTCATTTAATTTCTAAAATTTATGATAATTTGTATTTACAACCACAAGCAATGGAGGTAGGCAGTAAAGGTAAATAAATTTCATTAATTAAATAGAATGACTTTTTAGGAACATTTAAACTTATCATGCAGCCATTGTTTCTTAAAGTCAGGAACATTTAAAGAAAACATGAACAACAAGACAACAAGTAATCGTGAATGTTTTGTAAACTATAAAGTAAGTTTATGTAAGCTATAAAAATAAAATAATTTGTCTCATTTTGTCGATAATCTAGTTGGTCGAGTTTTATAAACACTGTTTTTAATATATCCCCATAAAAAAACAGACTAGATAAAATCAGGAGCATTTAAATATGCTATTAGAATCGTATCAATTCTCTCTGATGTAGAATAAGTTTGCATTTTCGGCCAATTTCTGAGAAATTTTTTTGTTTTTACTGACAGAAAATGTTACAGTTCCCTAAATGTGAAAAAACTTTGCCTAAATGTGACAAAACTTCTAAAATTGGCGCAGTCGGTAGGATTTTAGAGCATAAATTGATTATATCAATATTAACAAGCAGGAAAATAATATGTTTTAATAAGAAAATAATTAAATTAGACATATTTATCTTTTTTCTATATCCTCCTCCTTCATACTATTCAATGAAAGTATGGTGACATCATAAAGCAATCGCATTTACTAGATTTCTCCATATCGTTTCGACTTAAATAGCAGTACTAGTCTCATGCAGACCTATAATTTTCTTCATTTAGTCCACTAAACCGTTTGGAGGTCCCCCTCTAGGATGTTTCCCTTTTCGTGATTATGTGGTCAAAGTATCTTATCTATTTAAGGCTGTGTTCCGTTGCAAAACCAGGCGAACCAGACCGGTAAACTATTGTAACGAGCGGTTCCTGAAAAACATCGGTTTGATACGGAACGGTTTGGTAAAGTACTGGAAACGTTTTCTAAATTTCAATACCTTTATTGTAACATTTATCTTTTATGCATTTTTAATGTACCTATTCTCTGCTTTTACGTTTGCTCCTTCTTTTCAATGGAGTTTAATATTGAAAAGTACTTTATTAATAAACTGTTAAACTCGTTAGACAGCTCAAGTGAAGATTTGCAGGTCCAATATTAAAACAGATCAATAATAAATAAAGAAATCTATTCAATATTTATATTTTTATAGCTTACAAAACATTCACGATTACTTGTTGTGTTGTTTTTCATGTTTTCTTTAAATGTTCCTGACTTTAAGAGACAATGGCGCATTGATAAGTTTAAATGGTCCTAAAAAGTCATTCTATTTAGTTAATGAAATGTATTTACCTTTACTGCCTACCTTTATTGCTTTTGGATGTAAATACAACATATTATTACAAATTTTAGAAATTAAATAAGAATTTCACTGGAACTTCCAATATTTGCTTGATTTCTGGCACATAAATGACATTGATTGGCAAACAAAACCAGAAAAACCGGCCTATCCGTAATAAGAAAACCTTCAGGAAACCGATAGAAACGGAACATAAAAACATAACCAAAGTAAGCAACGGAATACACCCTAAGATACTTTGACCCCATTTTCCTATATATATTCTAAACTTTTATTGGCTAATATACTATCACTGACCTTTATGAGGTAAATATACTAGTAATCTGTCGTTTATTGATATAAATAATAAATATTTCATAATTTCTTTGTCTACGATAGCTATTTCTTCATAGCCAATTCGAATAGCTGTAAGTACCCTTAAAAATTATTACTATTCTTAAACGAGAACCGTTTTGCGAGTCGGCATTAAAATGAAAATTTAATATTTTTGCGGGTCCGCTAACTTAATGGCTAGTGGGACAGATGAAAATATCAGAACTTTCGTAATAAGTTTTCCGCAAATGTCTGCGTAGAAGTTATAATCAAAACTCTCGGACAACGGCGCGCGGCGCCAAACAAAAAGATAAATTAATTTTTATTATGGAAAATCTCGTTTAGGGCAATGGTCCGCCAGTCTCCGTCGATATGATAGCAGCGTATACACGGAAAGAAATTATAGAACCAAGTAGATAAGCAATATATAAAGACTTTTGAGCCATCGTTCACCATTACGTCATCACCATTTGTCAAATATGAGTTTTAGGATGTGTCTGAGATCAGTTCATATTGTTTAGAACATTTTAAGTACGTTTCTATATTATTGATTGAGCGCATTCCGTTTTTGTTCGGATTTATTCATTTTCTCTTGAACTCTTCATCAGTTACGATTCTTTTACTTTCAATCCTTTGGACTGTTGAAATTATATATAAGTCGGTTCAGAACGTTCTACGACGTTTTCCGACACCTAACCTCCACTCTTCTCTATTTAGCCAGAGATCATCAGGTATTTCTCTATTTTCTAGTTCTTGATCCACACCCTCCCTCCAGCTTCGTCGCGGCCTTCCTCTTTTATTTCTGCCTCGAGGTGCCCACAGTAAAATTTTAGATTATTTTAAAATTTAATTATTCTGTGGTCTCTTGTTGATGTCTTCTCGGATAAACCATCTTGTTCTTTCAGTGTAGAGTTTAAACATATATTTCTAGCTTCCATATCCTCGAATAGACTGTTCTCCGCTTCAAGAAAGGACTATAATTGCGATGGGGATATTATAGACGATAGTAATAATATTAGAAATAAAGCTTAACAAAATTGGTACAGTATTTTAACTGCGTAATGGACATTTTCTTTGTGGTATGACACTTTAACTAGTCAATTATAAATTAATGTCTTTTGTGAAATTATTCCGACTAGTTAAAGAGACTCATTCAACGAGAAAAATTAAGATTTAAAGATACCTATAATAAATAACAATAAATAGCGATTTATTGTGCAAAAAGTCAAAATAGCTTCGTCGACAAAGCATTTACAAAACAAACAAAAGCACAAAAAATATACAAATAATAAAAACAATTCAATACAAATCATACAATTCAAAAAAAATTAAGTCATTATAATTACAAATAGAATGTACAGAACAATGCAGAACACAAAAAAAGGCGTATCAATAAAATTTTACAATAGGAAAATTGTAAATATTTATAATTTTAAGAGTTATAAAATACTAAATACTCGAACTTTTGACCAGTGTGTGAGATGATCGAAATTTTAAAATTCAAAATTGTTCATGATTAAACATCAACAAAAAAGTCGTTTACCGCATATAGGGCTCTCTCCAGTAAGTATAATTTCAGAGCTTTGCAAAATGCGGGAAAGATTGAGAGCGACTTGATATTCAAAGGCAGATGATTGTACATGCCTTTAACTAGTTCTGAGCTCAACAATAACTAAACGTGGCGCTAGGTCAAGAACCATCACACTCGATCACCGATCCCCAATAAAACCAAAACGGTTCTCTCGCAATCTTTTTTTCTACGTCGGAAAACGCAGTTTTAGTTCGGCAACCTCCCGCGCAAGACGCCTGGCGCTAAAATCGCCCCAGTCGGAGGCCGAGCCCTTCCAGTATCCGGCCGACGCTACCGACGACGTCAACGTTTCGGCGTCGCGACGCCTCTCCCTTTACCCTTCCTCTCCGCCGCGGTGCGAGTCTCGCCGCGAAAATTACCGGCGCCTTGAAGGACCAAAAATTCTTGGGAAAATTTTTTTATTTGGCTCGAAGGACCAATTTTTTTTTGTTGTTTTAAATTTTGGGCTATTGTACGTAAAATTCTTTGCGTTAAATGAGATGTAACAATTAAAACAATGTTGTGTGTGTATAAGAAATGACGATTGTATTATATGAGGATTTAATGTGATTATAAGGTGTGCTTTTTTATATTCTCACTGACTTTTTCCTAAATAGATCCTTTTAGAGAGATAGAAATATAAATATTGCGAGAGATATTGTTACAATCATTATCATTATCTAAAAAATTGCCGGTTTATTGTTTAAATTTTGACGGTTTTAACTAGAGTCTCGTTGGTATTTACGTTAGATTTTATGTTACAACAATTACAACAATTCTGTATGTATAAGAAATAATATTCTTTAAACCATTATATTGCCTCTTGTTTCTGAAGGTTTGTTTAAAAAAAAGAATTTTGAAAGCATTTTGCTGTAGAATTTTGTAATATACCGGGTGGTCCGAACTGTATTCCGGAAACTGCAGATATAAAGAAGTAAAAAAAGTTCGTATAAATGTATGTCCTAAAATGCTCAGTTTCCGAATTACAGGGTGTAGAAATTTCATTTTTATTTCGATTGTTTCTAAATAATTTCTGAAGGAACGTCAATATTTGGATGAAAATTGGTGTCTGTTTTTTGATATGAGAATCTATGATAATTTTTAGTCATTATTGAGAAAAAATAAACACGTTGAGTTAGTTATTAAAATGAATTGATAAATTTGGGAACTTTTTATTTTTTAAATCAATCATAAATTTTTCTTCGAAAAAATTACGATAAAACTGTTTCTGTTGAATTTTTATTGACAGGAAAACATTTCAAATTTATGATGTCAGTCTAATAACAGTCAATATGTAATTAATTTAGGTCAATGATGACAAGTATTGGTAACTTCGAATCAAAATATATCGAGAACCATTACTCGTAGCGATTTTTATAAAGATACTTTTTTACGTAAAAAACGTCGTAAATGTATATTTTTTTACTCGGTTGTTTTATAACAGGGTCAGACGAAAAATTACAACTAGGGAATGCAATCCCGCACCCAGATCTCAATCCCGCAAACCCGCGGGATTAAAGCAATCAATCCCGCGGATCCCCAAAATTGCGGGATTGTAAACAATAAATGCTCTTCTTTTCTCTCTTTGATTTTGGGATGCGGTTTGGACCAGGTTTTAGACGCATCTATTGTGATTAAGATGCCATGTGGTTTTCGAAAATATATTTAGCGAATTCTCGTATACAGGGTGTTTTATAATAGTGCACAAATATGGTCAAGAATTTTTTTTACCGAAAATTTACAATTTTTGAAAAATCGAAATTTTAACTATGTACGACTAATCTATATTGAAATTAGAAAAAACAATTTGGTCTTTTTTTAATTGTTTGTTTTAAGATAAATACTAGTTTTTTTTCGAAAAATATGCATTTATAGTCCTAAATAATACATTTGGTTCTAAATGGTACAAAAGGCATTGTACATTTTGCATCGGCCCACAATATACTGATATACCGTGTATCTTTTAGCTGTACAGAAATTTGGACCGATGTATACAGGGTGTTCAAAAAATATATTTAATATTAAATAAACTTAAATTTTATTATAATTTATCTACTTATTTTATAAATCAAAATACTATTCTGATGTTGAAGATTTTTTTCAACTTGTGTTAGTTATCTGCTTTTAGATACATTCTATATTAATAATTTTTTGGCATATGCAGAATGTACAAAGCTTTTTGTACCATTTAGGACTATCGTATAACTAAAAATGCATATTTTTCGAAAAAACATCGTATTTTCCTTAAAACAAAAAAAAAGATCAAATTGATTTTTTTCTTATTTCAATACAGATTAGTCGTACTTGGTAAAAATTTGTAAATTTGCGGTAAAAAAAATTCTTGACCAAATTTTCACACTCTTATAAAACACCCTGTATACGAGAATTCGCTAAATATATTTTCGAAAACCACATAGTATCTTAATTACAATAGATGCATCTAAAACCTGGTTCAAACCGCATCCCAAAATCTTTTTTAGTTCAAGAGATATTCAACTTTAAATTTACCCTAAAATTTTGCTTGTCCCGATAATTATGTCCGGCAGTTCATTTGACGAAATTGTCCACAAGTACCAGTTAAACGCTTTTCTTCACTTACGCACACCAGAACGAAATCTAACAACTAACCTGTTTGTTTCACTTATTTTTAATGGTCAAGCCGTAAGGGTAATCCCCTGGTGTCGATCCCGCAGATCCCGCACGGTAAATCCCGCGAAATCACAGAGGGATCCCGCATTTGCGGGATTGCATTCCCTATTTCAGAGTCGATATTGGCCTTTTCCGAAATCAAACTGCCTACGTAACTGAATTTCGTTACATATTCAACAAAATATTTTTAGACCAACTAGCAAAATCTGTCTTTCAGTGAAACTAAATCAGTCAGACTGTTTCAGTGAGATTGACAGTTGAGAATCCGCCCTTTAATCATAACGAATAATTATTTTTACCAGAAAAAAGGAGAGCCTTCAATTAAAATTAAAAAAACATGACACTCTGCGAAGGAAAAAAGATTGTTTTAATAGCCCCATTTAACATTTTCACATTTCCATTTAAAAGCGTTTTTTATGATTCATTAAATACCAATTTTAATGAATTTAAGTCTTTTTAGCTTTAAAATACACGACCCAAAACTCCCAGCACAGACAAAATTTAAAATCCATATTTTAAAATTTCCAAACGCCATATTTCGTTTTATTATTTTATATAAAATATATAGTACTTCCAGGTAAATTTATTAATGTCTGCCCAAATTTATGCCAGACAAAATTCACATAAAATAATCCTGTAAATTTATGACGTAGGTATAATATAATTATATAAACTTCATTTAGGAGTTACCTATAACAGAGAAAAGCGAAAAACAAATATAATAAAATATAACTCGAGTTACAGCAGTAAAGTACATTTATAGCTAGTATAAATGTGATTAAGTAACGCGTTCAAAACTAAAATTAAAATCATTTTCGAAGCAATCGAATAAACTAAAATTGAGTTTTAAATATACGTATTAAAATACCTAGAGTCTTTTTTATTTAATTAGGAAAATGTCAGTGGGAGTTAATTAATTAATTATATTGAACGTAGCACACAGTATTAGTGATATACAGTGGCAATTTCAAGTGACTGACACATGTATACAAGTATTCCGGCGATTGGAACACAGGATATTGAGTCTTTTATGTAAGTAATTAATTTATTATTATTATTAGTATATTCGATACCAATTTAACTTTTAGTTACGTAATCGAGGGCGCGATTTTTAAATTCATTGTTACCAACCATAGACATTGTTCCCAACCATAGGGATTCAGGTGGTAGCCCTGCTGTAAAAAATGTCAAGTTGCCACATTTATTTATTTATTTCCTGACATTGTCATTCGGTTTTGACACTTTAGTTTTGTATATCACGAGTTTTTGGTTTAAATAAATAGTGTTGCCATACTTTAAGCTTAAAAGTGTTTACTAGCAGACATTGCAGTCGAACATTGTTCTTTTTAAAACCTCTTTTAGTGCGAAGTGTACAAGACAGATTAATAGCCGTAAAAAACTCGTATCAAAACTTTATTAGAATATTTTGAACGGTACAGTAATGGCCCTTTATGTCCCTTAAGTGTTGTTAAGGAGGTGAGTTTTGTTGATGTAAATAATAACTGTTTATATATTTAAAATTAATTTATTTTTGTTTCCTAAAATATTTCGATTAAAAGAAAATATATAAAAGTAGGCAACGCTGTGCCGGTCAAGCTTAATCACGTCACTAAAAGTTTATTTGATGTGAACCATATATCACCAGTCCGTATTATACAGGGTGATCCAGTTTTCTAAAGGAGAAAACCCCTAAAAAAAGTTAAATTTCATTCTTTCATAAAGTATATTTATTTAAAAATCAAACCGTCATAGACTTGAATTTATTATACAAAACTTAAAATAAGAATATTTCAAATTTATTTCAACCATCTAGACGTAGACTAGACTAATATGGGTTTGCTATTGGATCGTTAAAAAATTTAGGGTTTGGCATCGTTGAGGAATTTTAATAAAAAATATTTATCCAGCAATATTAAACTTTTTTTCCATGAATTTATATTATATTGAGATGTTTTATAAGATTTTTTTCCAGGATAAATATTGGAATATTAAATTTTTTACAGATTATTTATTCTTAATAATAAAGCTATATCTCAGTATCATTTAGTCAACATCTGTGACGGCTATAGTCAAGCATTCTCCTTCGATTGAGTTAGTTGTAGTAATTTTCTCTGAAAATTTGTGACGTGAGTTGTATATTTTACTTTACGACGATCTCTGAAATTTAGAAAAAAACACTTTATTTATATTTTTTACCCCTTCTCGGGGTGAATTTAAAAAAATCTTAATTGAAATTTATAATTACCCAAACAAATTGAATAAAAATGTTAAATATGTGAATTTTTCAGCAATTTATATTTTTTTTAAATTCCTACTATCATCCCCTAGCTTGTAGCCACCCCATCTCGATTAATTTTGATCTGAGCAAAAAAAGTATAGAGATCATTTCTATGTAAAATTTGACGCTCCACAACTTTTATTCGAACTTCTTTTTTCTAGGTCTTACCGTTTCTCCAAAATTTCGAAAAAATAATTTTGTTTATTTATTTCACCCCTTCTCGGGGAGGAATTTAAAAAAATCCTTCTCAATTCGTTTTTAGATCTTTCAAAGTAACTTATATAAAAAATTTAAGTTTTTACCAAAAAAATCGTATTCAAAGGTTTATTTTCTCGGACTATAAAAGAGTTTTACTTTTTACCATAAAAACAAATAAAACCGAAATATTTTAAACGCAATTACCAATTTAAACTTTATTTTATTAAATTAAATTAGGTACTTCACATTCCTCTCTCTCTCTCTCTTAAAATACGTACAAAATAGTTTTTGTACAACACTTCTTCGGAACCTTGACAAAAAGTCTCAGTCCTTTGGACAAACTCAATTTAACAAAAGGAATACATTAGACGTATTAGGACGAGAAACTGGGCTAGTCTATCCTAGAATTTTACGAAATTGCAAAGTTTTACGAAATTCTAACTCGACTGACACCGTTTTACACCTTTTTTCTTCTTTTTTTTACTCGAAAAAGTTTTAATAAATAACTTTGAACAACGAACGGCTAAAAACTTCTTAAATAGTTCTACTAAATTAGGTCGAGTTTAAAATTGATTTCTTCGGTACTATGTTTTATATTTAACGTTTTTTTTCTAGTTTAAAAAACAAGTATTTATTAACCCGTCGCACGTCGCGGTGTCTTCTTATAGTCCAAGAGCTGTGTTTAAAAAGCAAAGGTACAATCAGCAATTCCAGTTCTGGGACACCTGGCGCTGCGAAGCGCCCAAAGATTTTATTTTAATAAAATTAAAACACCCCCAAACTGTTTTCTGAAGGCTGAAAATTTGTAGATATATAACATTCGTATGCAATGTAATTACAGTTGAGGGTTGGAACCTTTGGTGTTACACAGCAAAATAAAAACACTAAATCACCACAATACACCAAAACACTTTTACTTTTACACTGGACGCGCGTTTCGCTAACCATGTTAGCATCATCAGCAGATGATTATAAACTCAAAAGTTATAAACTCAACATGGTTAGCGAAACGCGCGTCCAGTGTAAAAGTAAAAGTGTTTTGGTGTATTGTGGTGATTTAGTGTTTTTATTTTGATGCAATGTAATACAAAAATATAACGGTCAGACAGAGCAGTATGGGGACACAAAGCGTCATCGCTACCTCAAACGCGCTGTTAAAACAAATGTCACTCGCAAAGTGAATCTGTGATCAATATAGTGAAATCAATATATTTATTAATAAAAACAGTCAAACTCGTCCAAAATAGAACCCCGTCAGTCAGCAGCTGATGGAAGTGAGAATAGTGACAGCGCGCCTATAGGCGGCGGGTCTTTACTCAATGTATAACGATATTTATCAATAATTTTACACAAAACAAAATAATTAATGTAAATAAATTAAGGTTAAAACTGCTTTAGGCAAAAAAACATCTATTTTTTTATTTTTTCCTCCGACATTTATATACTACATGTTTTAAAATATATTTTTCTTATAATATTCATGTTTGAATATCAATAATAGATAGTCAAAAATCCGAAAAAATTAAATATTTTGTTTTGTATGAAATTATTGATGAATATCGATATACAGGATGGTCCAAACTGTATTCCAGAAACTTCGGCAGCATATTCTGCAAATAAAAATAAGTAAAGAACTTCGTATAAATGTATGTCCTAAAATGCTTAGTTTTAGAGATACAGGGTGTAGAAATTTCATTTTTATTTCGATTTTTTCCAAATAATTTCTGAAGTAACGTCAATATTTAGATGAAAATTGGCGTCTGGGAGTTTTTTGACATGAGAAATTTGATTTTGATGTAAATATGACTCCTATTTGTAGGGGGCGCCACCTACATGTGTTTTAACCGTTTTGAAGATTTTTGTTATCTGCAGAATATGCTGCCGAAGTTTCCGGAATACAGTACGGACCACCCTGTATATTGAGTAAGGAACAATGAAAGAGAAGGGACTGTTGAGGGTACTGTATAGATCTCCAAATATTGTTGAGCATTCTAAACGTTATTTTGGCCATGTTTATTCTGTTTATAATATATTGCTCTGTACCTCCGTTGGTTGAGAGTGTAGTCTACCCAAGTAAGTATAATTATTTAGCTCCTCTATAGGCGTTGTTCCAATGATAAAGGGAGTAATATTATTGGTACAGACAATACTGATATATGCGCATCACTGACTCTAATAAAATAAAGTTTATGTTTGATCTGAAATAATTATTCTATAAAATAAGCACACGATGATTTGGAAATAACACAAAATCGGAATAAAACCAAATGATATAAAAGTAATATACGAAAATTTACTATAAAGAGAGTATAATGGTCTTCTTTTTATAGCTTTTACATCAGTTCGTTCACATATTTACAAGTTAAAGTAATTTATTCCATTTTTACGGCCCATTAATTTTATTTTGGACAATAAAAAAGTTATTCTCACCTGGCAGCAGACTCACGCACACGCTCACACATGTGGGGTCGTGTTTTTTTCGTAAAAATAGAAAAGAAAATCACACTCTGGTGCCAGCAAAATTTACATGATAATGAGTTTGTTCCAAAAAGGTAACAGAAAAATTATATTTAGATCTATTTAAATGCTTTTCTCTTAGCCCTGGTGGTCCTTAGTAACTACCGTATGATAGACAAAAAAAACGGTGTCAAAGATGGCTGGAGAATGGGCCAATCTCTAGACTTAAAATAATATCATACAAATCGTCTCTATACTTTTCATGGTCAGTTTGATTTGGTCCCTAAAATTAAGAAATATCTTATAAAACTAAGCAGATATTCTGAATCTTTAGACAAAAACAGAAAGCTTGAAGTAAGGGAAATGCAGTTTTTCGTAAAATTTTCGTATTATTTGTTCCAATTGATTTGTGATATAGTTTTTTAAACTCTGGTTTGAGTTTCTTTTTTAATTTTTTTTATCTGCAATAAAACTTACCTATATATACACGTCTCGTTATATTTCTCCCCCCCCCCCCGTACATTATAAAAATTATACATATCATACTGTGAATAGTTCTGACTGACAAAGAAACCCATTAGCATGCAACGGGGATGTCAATGTTAGTCGGGAACTAATGTGAATTAAAGACCTAGTTCAAGGAACTATTCCTCTGGAGGAACTAGAACTAAGGAATTAGTTCCTTCCAAGGAACTAGAATTCCCACCCCTACTATAAACAACGTTTTTAAACTGCATTATCAAACGTGTCCCCCCGATTTAACTTTTCTAATATTTCCCCATTGTATATAGGTCAAGACATCAACAAAAAGTAGTTTTCTTAAGAATTTTCCCCATTTTTATTTCCTTTACAACACGATTCAATTTTCTTCGTTTGACTCTCTTGAGGGATTTCACCAACTTCGATCCAATTAAACCAAGTTAAATAAATAACACTTATCAAAAAGTTATTTACTGTTATTTATCGAGGAAAGGACTATTTTCAGATTTCGGAAAATCTCATTCTTTCGCAAAAGTTCGTAAAGTAAGTTAAAACAATGTTTGATTGAGTGTAACGCAAGTTTTAATAGAGTGAGCAGAAAAGAAAAAGTGAATCGTGT